ACAGCCAAAGAAAATCAACACTTAGCCTGTAGGGGATGAACCAGTGTGAATGACACTGTGTGGGTTTCTCTTCAGAGATCCTAATAAAGGGGAGAAGAGGTGACATGATACTTTCCACCTGTATTCCTTACGGTACATGTTGAGTTGCTTCATCGTGTCTGACTCTGCGATGCTAGGGACTGCAGCCCACCAGTCTTCTCTGTCCATGGGATTCTCCAGGCAAGAATGCTGGAGTGGGTTGCCATGCTCTGCTCCAGGGGATCTTTCTGACCCAAGAATCGAACTCGGGTCTCCTGCATTGCAGGCGGATTCTTCACCCCAGAGCCACCAGGAAAGCCCCCATATTCCTTGTAGACATGATTATTTTTTATGTGTCGAAAACTGCCAACCCAGAATTCTTTATCTAGTGAAATGTCTTTTAGGAATAAGAGGAAATCAAGACATTTTCAAATGAAGGAAAACTACAGAATCTGTCATCAGCAGACCTATCGTAAATGAAGTTCCCTAAACAGGAAGGAAATGATTCAAGAAAGAATCTTTGAACATCAGGATGGGAAAAAGAACATAGTAGGAAAAATATGGGTACATATAGTAGGCTGTCCTCTCAAGACTTCCAAGTTTTGTTTGATGGTTGAAGCAGAAATTATGATGTTGATGTGTTTCTAAATATGTTTGGAAGAAGTATTTAATGCAGTTATAAACAGGGGAAGCTAAAGAGAGATAAAGGGAGGTAAATTTTCTGCACTTCACTGGAATTGGTAAAATAATACCAGTAGACTAATATTTTATATCTTATCACAGTTTTGTATATGTATAAATAAAGTATTATATATATTTAATGCTTGTATAGTAATGTATATAATATATATTTAAGTTATATGTTTAATGAATATACATATACTAAATATATATGTGAAACTGTGATTAAGCATTGTAAGTGAGTAAAAATGAATTTCTTTAGAGAAATCTTTCTGCCACAGGAAGGCAGAAAAAAGAAAACAAAAAGTAGAAAACAGACAAAAGCAACAACAAAATGCCAGTCTCAAGTCCTAAAATATCAATAATTTCATTGAAAGCACAATGGTCTAAATATACAGACAAAAGCAACAACAAAATGCCAGTCTCAAGTCCTAAAATATCAATAATTTCATTGAAAGCACAATGGTCTAAATATTAAAAGGCACATTGGCAATGTGGATTAAAATACATAACCTAACTATATATAGTTCTACAAAAAACTCACTTCAAACATAATGATATAATAGATTGAAAACAAAATGATGGGAAAAGATGTTTTATGTAAACAGTAATCAGAAAGCAGCAGGAATGGCTATTTTAGTGTATAAAATAGACTTCAAAGCAAAGAAAATCATCAGAGTCAGGGAAGGACATTGTTTGATGATAAAACAATCAATCCACCAAAAGGATGTAATAATACTAAATATGCATGCCCCAGTGAAAAGAGCTGAAACATATGAAGCAAGAACTGATAAAAATGAAAGGAAAAATAGACGAACCTGCAGTTTTAAGTGGAGGTGATAATTCTCCTTTCTCAGCGATTGGTAGTGTAACTGGATAGAAGATCAGCAAGGATATGGAAGAACTCAGCACCATCATCAGCTTTCACGTGGGTTATCTGTTGCTGAGCACACTCCCTGTGTTCACTGTGTATTTTCACTTAGACTCTTGAGTACTGGTGGTGGAGGTCCTGAAGGCATGGCAGCCTGTCTTCTCACCAGGCGTGTAGGCAGAAAGGTGCGGTATTCAGACACTGCGGTCTGTAGCTCCTTTAAGTAGTTTTAACCTGCTTCCCTGGTGACTCAGTGGTAAGAGATCCACCTTCAGTGCAGGAGACCCGGGTTTGATCCCTGGTCTGGGACAATCCCCTGGAGAAGGAAGTGACAGCCCACTCCAGTATTTTCTCCTGGAGAATTTCATGGACTGAGGAGCCTGGTGGGCTACAGTCCAGGGGTTGAGAAAGACTCAGACACTACTTAGCGACTAAACAACAACAGACTTGACCATGAGAGATGTTGTTAGTTTTGATTTATTGATCCTTTCTTCAGCAAAGAAAAATGGAGGCATTTCCCCCGTATAATAGTTTCCTAGAACTGCTTTAACAAATTACCATAAACTTGGTGGCTTGAAAAAACAAAAGTTTATTCTCTCACGGTTTTGGCGGCTAGAAGTCTGAGACCAAGGTCCTGGCAGGGCCATAATTCCCTTCAGGGTCTCTAGAATCCTCCCTTGTCTCTTCCTAGCTTCTGGCGGTTCCCCGGAACCCTTGGCATTCTTTGGCTTGTAGCTGCATCACCCTAGTCTCTGCCCCCATCTTCACATGACCTTCTCTGTGTCCTTTCCTCCTGCTACAAGGACACCAGTCACTGGATTTAGAGCTCACCACAATCCAATATGACCTCATCTTAACTAACACAACATTTACAAATGTGCACATTCCCTATTTCCAAATTTGGTCATATGCTGAGGCTTTGGGTGACCATGAACTTGAGGGAGAGGGCACTATTCAACTCATTACACACTGCTGGTAATTCTTCTGTTTTTTTGTTTGTTTTGCAAAGTGGTAAGCATTTCAAACAGATGTAGCTAATCCTCTAATCCTGCATCGTGTTTTCTGGCAAAAATTGTTTTATTTCTAAGGATCGGCTGAGCAGTTACCTAGAGGACTGTATTAACTGCTGTGGTCTTACCAGCCTGGGGTGACTCTCATTAGGACTTGGGTGTCACTTTGTTGAATGTCGTTTTTATTGATTGAGGATTTGGTTCATATGAGATGGTGATAAAAGGGAACTATTTTGTTCTCACTCTTTCCTGTTAGCAAATCAGCTCCTTCTTGTTCTTGGATCTAACTTGACAAAAGAATTGAATCTTGTGCGCCAGCATATGCTGTGAGCGACTTTAATCAGAATTTAGACTGTCATTTGGTACATTATAACCCAGCATGCGGAGAACCACCCAAAGCAGTGCAATGCAAGAATCCCCAAGCGAGAAATTTAACGTAGGAGAGAGTGGCCATTCTGTGGGATAACAGCACAGTTATAAATGCTTTCATCTCTGCTTTGGTGAATCCTGGGTGATTATGCTACTTCTATGCAATAATAAACTCACCAGGCAGAGTCTGTGGTAATGGCTGTCAGATTCCAGATATTCCTGGAAAGGATACTGTGGTGTGAAGTCATTATTTTCAGATGTAGTTCTTCTCATTATAGCTTGCCCATTTGTAATCAATAAAAGTTTAACAGTGTAACATAAAGCAGTTAAGAGCATGGAAATAACATTGGCCTTGCCGTGGAATGAAGGCTAGCCAGTGGCTTGGTCTTTGACAATTTTCAAGTACCTGAAAATGCTTTGAAGGAGACACGAAGTTCTGCTCACAAGTTCTGCTCACAGTATGTTACTGTTTTCCAATCAGCGTGCTAACTATGCTTGGAGAAAACATGGTTCTTTTAGGTTTTGCCACTTAGATCTGGGCCTTTGACAAGGAAAAGGAAAACTCAGATTCCATGTTGGCTCACACAGTAAAGAATCCGCCTGCAATGCAGGAGACCTGGTTTTGATCCCTGGGTTGGGAAGATCCCCTGGAGAAGGGAATGGCAAGCCCACTCCTGTATTCTTGCGTGGAGAATCCCAGGGGCAGCGGAGCCTGGCGGGCCACAGTCCATGAGGATGAAAAGACTTGAACATGACTGAGCAACTCACACTGGGAAAGAAAAGAGAAAACTGGGATGAGAAGCACTGTTCAGCCTTCTCTTATTTTCAGTAAACAAAGAGCAGGCAGCTGTATCATTGGTTGACTTCTTGCGTAACAAAGAAAAAGCAAAAAACTCTTATCCCTCTCAGACTTGCCAGATGTGGTTCTGGTTTGTAGGAGCTTACTGCTAGCTCTCGGATACTCTTTGCATGGCTAACCTCATCATGAGACTTTTGACCCTGGCAACTAAAACTTTACAGCATTCATTTCTATTGCAGTTTTTCCAAAGCCCTCCTTAGAAGAAATAGTCTTATATCTTGGCTTGCTCTTTCTGGCTTCAGTTCTCATTATAGTGGTAGCCAGTCTCCTATACTCTTGGTCTCTAAGCTCTGGAACCAGGCTGTCTCAGGGTGAATCGTCATTCTGACACTTGTTTAATCTCAGAAGTTGTTACGGAAATACATGAGTTAATACTTGCAAAATACTGAGAGCCCTACTTGGTTCATAATAAGCACTATATAAGTGTTTTTGAGAAAGATAAACTACATTCTTTGTCTTGATTGTGATGGTGGTTATATGAGTATACATTTGTCAAAACTCATTAGAAGTGTGCATTTAAATGTTGTAAAATTATGTATAAGTTTATATGAATTATACCTCAGTAAACCTGACCTAAAAATTTTTTAGTGAGAAAAATTATATCTATTTACTCAGCTAGGAAAGGGTTTATAAAGTGTTGCACAGTAGGATTTTAAAAACATAATTCAAAGAGGCTTGCCAGTCTAGGTCTGCAGGCCAGTTATCATGCAGGATAAATTTGCCTGTCGGCATGAGAAGCTGATGTAAGAGATGTTGCCAGGCAGCTCTTAGCCATCTAGGAAGGAAACGCTGTAGGGTTTGGGTTGCTTAAGGTAGTCACAGAGTTCAGCAAAGAGTGGGAACTTGAGTTGGACCCCAGAGGATATAGGATTTGAAGGCATTTGAGAAGGTGCATGGGTGCAGATGCAAGATCCAGGGACAGAAAAGCATCTGCCCCATTTAGGCAACTATGAGAGAGCTGGCTGGATTAAAATAAATTCTCTGAGTGCGGATAGAGAAGGGAATGGCACCCCACTCCAGTGTTCTTGCCTGGAGAATTCCCATGGACAGAGGAGCCTGGTGGGCTACAGTCCGTGGTGTTGCAAAAAGTCATACACAACTGAGTGATTAACACATACTCCCTCTCTCTTTCTGACCTTGGCGGGGCAGCTGTACTCTCTGAACTAATGAGTTCTCTTCATTTCATCCACAGAAAGGCCCCCCTTCTGGGAAAGACCGGGTGAAGAAAGGTGGATCCTACATGTGCCATAAAGTAAGTCAAATCACTAACCTCTATTTTGGTTTTTTTAACAGCAGGTTTATGGGTCCATTGTAATCATTAACCCCCAAATGTCCCATCCATGTCTATTAATACATCTCCATCAAAGCAAGAAAAAAAAGAAATTTGGGCACAGGCATGGCAATAAGTGATGCAAGAAGCAGAGGTTATAAATGGTCTGTTGTCAACCATACTCTGTTGTATTGTGACCCTTTGAGAGACCTTTGTTGTCCCACGAATCTGGGTGGACTATATACTTTTTCCAGCATGGAAGTCTGGAACCACACCCTTAATTTATTTGAGGCTCCAGTAATTTTTTTGGCTTCTCTATTGCTATTAAGGTAAGAATTATAGGTGGAGGGTAGATTGTGGTATATTGAAATGGAAACATCCCAAGTGTTCTTGGTATATAGAATGTGCTTTGTAGAATAAACATTAATCTCAGAGAATGCTTTTTCTCTTTGGGCTGTAACGTCAGTGTCAGAGACAGTTGTTCTTGGCTAGTAGAAGTGACTCAGTGTTTCATGAGTAGCCTTTTTTAAGGAGTTCAGAAATTGAATAGCACGCCTCTCCCTTTTTTTCTTTAAATCATGTATTTTTAGTGTCTCCAGCACTTCAACTTCTGTCTTTCTATCCCTATGCAAAGATGGCATTTCGCAGATTGTTCCTCCAAGGAGCATCCTATGATAATTCAGTCAGTCTAGGCAGTTAGAGACTTAAAATACCCTGTAATGGCTCCAAATTAAGTTATTAATTTGATAATGGAGGCATTGTCAAACTTTGCCTTAAAATAATGGTTCTCAAACTTTATTGCATATTAGAATCATCTGGGATCTATAAAAAGTACAGATGCCTGTTTCCTCACTCACCTCATCCTGATTTGATTTTTCTGTATTATGACCTGGGCATCAGGATTTTAAAGCTCTCAAGGTGATCATAACATACATCAAAGTTTGGGAACCACTGGCCTAAAAAGACTCTTCAATTATGTGTATGAGAGAGTTCATAGGTGTGTGTGTCTTCTTCATTTCTTAGAGTTTTTAATATAATCATTTAGATGGAATTTCATAGAGTTGATTCAAACTATGCTTTACACCTACCTTTATAACAAGATGTAGACAAATTTATCTTTAAAATTCTAATTCTAATTTTAAATTAAAAGCATCACCCTAGGTCATTCTAGTAGTTTAAAATGTTCACATACCCATCTGTCTGTAGTCCCAGATTTTTTTTCTCTGATACAAGCTGTTACTGCAGGTGTAATCTGAATCCTCTTGCTGGGGAACCAGACTTCCATGAAAAACAGGTGAATCTCTTTTTGCACAGCAGTAGTTCAAAACTCTAGTTGCCACCAGTTATGTCTTTGACATATGGCACTTTTCTTAATTGATAATCCATTTGCTCTATAAGAATTGAGGACCAAAAGATTTTTTCTTCACAGTTAAGTGGAGAAAATGAAACTTGTAAAAAACATTTCAAGTATGAACACCAAAATATTCCAGTGCCATACATATAAATGTGTCTACCATTTCATTTTGCTTGCTTATTTTAAATGTTTTAAATTTTTATGAGCTTCTTAGTTTATGCTTTTAAAATATCTTTTAACCTAATACATGTTTTTAATAAATACAGTTACATGGCAGAGTTGATTTTTGTATATTTGTGTTGTGTAACCTTGTTAAACTCATCTGTATTAGTAACGTTTTTGTAGATTCTATTGAATTTTCTACATAAGTGGTTATACTAACTGGAGTATAGACAGTTTTACTTCTTCCTTTTTAATTTGGATATTTTTTATTACTTTCTCTTGCTGTATTTCTCTTTGGCTAGAACCTCTAGTATATTGTTGAATAGGAGTGATAAGTACAGTCTTATCTAATTTTAGATCTTAGAGGAAAGACATTCAGCTTTTCAGAATTAGCTGTGATAAAAGCTGTAGTGTTTTCAAAGCTGCCCTTTGCCAGCTTGAGAAACTTTCCTTCTAGTCTTAGATTTTTGAGAGTTTTTATCAGAAATGGATGTGGATTTTGCCAGATGTTTCTTTGAGACTATTGAGATGTTTATGTGGTTTTTCTTTTTTAGTCTGTTAATATGGTGAATTTATTTGTTTGTTGTTGATTAATCTCTGGGAGTTTGTGTCTTTCAAGAAATTTATCCATTTCATCTGAGTTAATGAATTTATTCAGATAATCTTTGCATTTTCACTTGCTGTTTAGACCATTTACATTTAACATGATTATTGTTATGGTTGGGTTTAAATTTGCCATCTTGAGATTTGTTTTTCTCTTTGTCTCATCTGTTCTTTTTCATTTGCTCTCTCTCTTGTTTTTTAAACTTTTTTTGGATTAAGTTTTTTAATCACTTCATTTTCTCTTCTTTGGCTTATTAGCTTTAACTCTTTGTTTTAGAATTCTTGTGGTTGATTTAGAGTTTATATTACACATCTGTAACTTTTCTTAGTCACCCTGAAGGATAAGTTTTAATTTAGTCAGGATCAGAGGGGTGGAGAGAGTGTTCCAGAAGAGAGAATAGCAGAGTAGGCAAAACTGAGTGGGAACCACAAGATTTTCCAGAGAGAAATGGCAGCTCTAGGATCTCAGTCAAATTAATTGTAAATGATGTAGGTATTTAACCTCAGTCTGGTTATTTTGGTGAGGTCAAGGAAATAGCACAGTGTTGATTACGAATTACTTTCTGAGTGCTTATTCTTTCCACTAGATTAAGAGTGACAGCTTTAACTGCCACTAGGTATAGTAAGTGCATTAAACTGTCGATTCTAGAATTAGATCTGGGTTGGAATTCTGTAACTTCTCTTTGCTAATCCTTGCCTGTAACCTTAGACAAATTACTTAACCTTTTTAAACCTCAGTTTTCACATTTGTAAAATGTGCATCATAATTGCAGCTACTGTAAGTAAGGTTCTTATGAGGAACAAATGTACCAAACAAATGTATACGCACACATACCTAGCTCATGGTAAAGACTTAGTTAGTTGCTGCTAATACCATCATTCTTTGGGTTTTTTTTTGTTTGTTTTTTTGAACAACAGAAATTTATGTTCTCACAGTTCTGGAGGCTAGAAGTCCAAGATTCAGGTGTTACCAGTCTGTTTTCTTGAGGTCTCATTCCTTGGTGCAAAGATGGCAGCCTTCTGTCTGTGTTCTTGCAAGGTCTCTCCTCCATGCATGCAGGGCTCTTCATGTCTTAATCTCCTCTTCTTACAAGAATGCCACTCAAATTGAATGAAGGCCCATCCTAACAGCTTACTTTTAATGTAATTATCACCTTAAAGTCCCGCTTCCAAACACAGTCACATTCTGAGGTACCAGGGGTTAGGGCTTCATGCATAAAAACTTTGAGGACATAATTCTTTCCAAAACAGTGCCATCATTCTTAATCATCATCTTTATTAAGATTGTCTCCCCTCCATCTTCTCTTCTGAATAAAGAACCAGCAAATGAACTGCTAACTAGATAGGCAGAATTCTAGAAATAATTCTTACGGCAAAGGTGAAAATCAGTAAAAGAAAGAAAATCAATAAAAAGAAAAAATAATAGTTAATTCATTTTGAAAAAAAAAAATCACCTTAATTAGAAGCTGACTTATTTTTGATCATTATCAGGGCCAGTCTGCATGACTAAAGTAAGCTCTGATGATTATTTTTTACTTTCTGAGAGTCCATCCTAAGTATGGCTTCAGTAAGGATAGGAGAGCACAGAGGAGCAACTGTGAGTCAACGTGGTGTTAACAGCAGATTCTAGAACGGGACTGAAGAAACTCGAATCCTAGATTCATGGTTATAAGCCATGTGATCTTAGAAACTCCATTACCATGCCTGTGCCTCATTTTTTCCTTTGTGTATATGACGCACAGATGATACCTACCTCAGGATTATTAGAAGGATTAAGTCACTTAACACATGTGAAGATTTTAGAACAGTTCACATAGTAAGTACTCAAGAAATATTAGTTGTTTTTGAAGCTGTTAGATTAATTCCCGTGACATCTTTAGCCCAACCCACAACATGGAGGAAATTCTTACTTGCTGCCCCCATAACCCCCCCATTTTACACCAAGATTACTAGCAAAAGGAGTTGATCAAGTGTATTGACAAGGGCAGTGGATGGGAAATTGAGAGACCTGGGTTCTACTGTGTCATTTTTCTGTAATCATTTTGTTCCTAATGAGCTACAGATACCTCAGAACTATTCTTTATACCTAAAACTCTTCCTCTCCTGAAAGCCATGTTGCCATCCCACTTGACTCCAGTGCCCCAAGGCTAGTAAGCCGTTATCTTTAATGGATTGTTCTTGAATCCAGGCTCAGGTGCTTAGTGCAGCTCTGGAGATCAGCTTCACACAGTAATTAGCTATTTTGATGAAATGGGGCTAAAACAAGTCCTCACCACTACCTCTGTTCTTAATTAATAAAATGACCTATATTTTAGCCACTCAAAGTCCTAACATCATTAATAGCCATTTTTGGTGCTAAAAGTAGACTTGGGAAAAAAAAGAAAGAGCAATGAGGACATATTAAATCAGGCCATTTTCCTCTTTAGTTATGTATTTCATTAGTTGCCCATTACTAGAATTTAAAATGAAGTACTTATATCAAAAAGTGTTTGCTGAGTGAATGAGTACATTTAAAATGCAATGATAATGTGAATTGACTGTTTTCTCACGTGATCGTCCTGACCTTTTCAACAGTAACTTGTGGTGAGACTTGCTTTTTAGGGTTTAGTTCTTTGTCATTTAGGTATATGGAAGAGTTTAGGTATTGCTGTGATCCAGTGGAAGAGTAGCTCTTTTTATCACTTATTTGAAGCTTTTTTTGTTATGTAAGCAAAACATTTTCATTGCATAAAAATTAGAAAATAAATAATAAACATAAAAATGAAAAAAATAATTTACCTTGCTTTCTAAAGAATATATTGATAGTACTCTACTCACCTTTTTGGTGCAGTTTTTTTTTTTTTTTTTGTGCAGTTTTAATTTT